TTACTCAAGTATCATGAATGAAATGATAATGCAACTAAAAATATTAAAAGATGTGATGCTAGGACATAAACATAATAACTTAGTGAAAGATGTTCTTGGAAAAGCAATTTCATTATTAAAAAAATGGCTTAAACTACTTGATAATGTTTTAAGATCATTACAAAATTAAAATTTTATTTTCAAAGAAATTTAAATATTTAACGTTTAGTATTATTATTGTTAATCAACTTATTGTTATTTATAACTTTATGATTTTTTTCTTAATTTAATTATTTGCGGTTGAGACTATAAAGTACTTAGTTTTAATGAATCACAATATTTTAATTAAATTTAGATATATATAATTTTATTTGTATATAATAAAATTAATAAAAAATAATTATAAAAAATGAAAATAAGGTGAACCCGTGACTTAACCCATAACCCGTTAGGATTGAATTAGGGTTAGACTTTTTCAACCCGTCACCCGAGTTGACCTAACCCGAACTTAACCTAATCCGCCCATTTGCCAATTCTAAGCCCAGCACTTCAAAATTCCAATTCATGTATCATATTTGTGCTTGTTGCTGGATTCTGGTCAGGCCTTAAGGCATGGGCCTTTTATTTGTGATTTTTTTCCTGGCCCAACCCTAGACCAACATTATACCACATTGATTATGTGCATTTAATATAAACTTTGAGTATTTATATATACATTTTGAAATCATAAGTTTTTACATGCAACTATCTTAAATCATAAATATGTTACATACACGTTTTAAAATTTTGAATTTTTATATGCACCAACCTCAAACTATTAGGACTTTGATGAGTTGTTATACAATTTTTTATTTCAAGACATGGAAGGAGATAATGATGATAAGCTCGAAAATAGTGTTTCTTGTGAGATGCATAATGTAATGCGTGATTTGGGCAAGAACTAATAAAACTTTCATTTTTTAAGGTCTTTTTTTGACAGCTTTTTCTATTTTTTTATAGGGATAAGTTTCTGAGTTAATTTATCTTTTTTGTTTAGGAAAAATTAACTCTTCCTCCTTCACATCCAAAATTTTCTAGTTGGGACTCTGACTTTCGGTTTGTAAAGAGACTCACGGTTGCTGGATATATGTATACAGTCTACTTGACCTGTAAATTTACTACAAACATACATCTTTGTTACTAGAGTTCATGTCTCTTTGGATTTGCAATTTTGGTTAATTAGACCCCAGTGACTTGTTAAACTAACAAACCTTTTCTCCTAGCCTCTTGGTTTGGCCAAAAATTTTCCATTAAACCTTTTACAGATACCATATTCTTCTTTTGTTTGGTTGGGAAAGTTTTGGACTTTACAAAAGGTTACTGTTCTCTATATCATAACTTTAACAGCTCCTTACGTGCTTTTGCTTTATTCATTCTGCTGTATCTGGATTACTTGAATGTTTTCACATACTTTGCACCTTTCTGCGATATAACAATTATAATGTGCATGACAGTGTGCCAGGATGATACTTTCAAGATGGGGCTAAATTAATGCATATTTCAATGTAATTCCTGATACCTCCAAAACATATCCAAAAAAAATCATGCAATGATTGCAATTGACTCTGATATACTTCACTGTCTAAGCCGCAACCAGAAGTAAGTCTTGGTTCCCTTCGTGATTTTTCTAATATATTTTTGGTTAATAGATTACTAATTTTTTGGCTTAAAATTCTGCTTCAATTTATAGTGTGCCTACTCTATAGATAATGATGGAGGGAATGAAGATTGGATCAGGAACTATTATTTTTATAAGATTTTTTAGCTTCTTCGTTTATTGGTGGACTAATTTCTCCATAGAGCTAAGCATGAGAGGAATACACAAAAAGGTGAAAAGATGATA